GTGATGAATATTGAGCTGCAAGAAACTCAAGATTGCTGATCGACACTCGGTTTTGCGGTCTCGCATTTATTTTGTCCCTTTTTACTAGTCATCTCATGACATTGACGATCGCTTGTGTACTGCATGTTGTCCCCCCCTTTTTTTTTATTTACCCCTGCATTTTGTTCATGCTCGCTGTCAAAAAGCAAGGAAATTTTTATGCTTTGTGAGAAAGAGCATGCGAATGATACCCCATATCAGACCAGCTTCGATGGCGAACTGGGAATCGAATTGTGAGAATAGCTATTGCATATCTGGAGACATGGAATCGAGGAAGGCGTCCCGAACAAGATAATTTATTCGATAAACAAAAGCCCTGGAAGAAGAAGAAGAAGACGCGAGGAGACGAGAGAAGACGAAATGGACGAGGGGGGACTAAGGACAGAGGACGGAGGACTGAAGCTCGTGGAGCTGAAACTCGGGCGAGAAGCAAGGAAGCAAGGAAGGGAGACAAGTGTGAGACGGCCTCGATATATATAATTCAGTTGCCGAGTTCTTAGTCTGCGTCGCCGCTGCTTCTAGAATGAGGGCAGGACGAGAGAGAGACGGATCTCAATCCATTTTTACATCATGTCATAACATAACATAAAACTGGTTCCGGAAATACAAAGTAAAAGTCTCGTGTGGTTGGTTTGTTCACAATCATGAATATCAACGTCTTTTACCTGACCAGGTCCAGGTCCGAATCCAGATCCAGGTCGACGCATATTCATTCATGTTCATAATCTCCATTTTCAGTAGGTGATGTAGATTGAGGAGACCTGACTGCCCTCTCAATCCGCCGCGCCAGGCTCATTCAACCCCAACGAGTCGCCACTCGTCCAGTTGACGTCCAGGAACAGGTACGAGATCTTCCACTCGGCGAATCCCTGCTTTTCCTGCCCTTGGCCCTGTTCTTGGCCATGCTGAGCCCTCTGAAAACTCCAGTAGTAGTACCCGCCTTCCTGAAAGACCTTGCCGATGTCGTCGCTGTCGGTGCCGCAGACGGCGTGAAGCGCGGAGCGGGCGTGCGCTGTGTTGTCGGATGTGAAGGAGATGGTGATGTTGGAGGACGAGTGCTAGGCATGAGGGCGGCCTTGTTAGAACTGGTCGAGGGACTTGACACAGGTGCGAAACCGCGTGTTCGACTAGATGTGTAACAAAATGAAGAAAGATGTGTCGCACTCGACTCACCAGCATCCGATGGAACCTCGTCTCCGCGTTCATCGCCCACTGGGCTAGTCCGTCCTTACCCTTGTGGCTGCCAAACGGATAGGCGACGTCGCAATCGTCCGTGAACAGGTCGGCCCATTTGTGCGCGGCGTCATGGTCGACCATGCACGCATCAAGGACATAGGCGTACTCGTTGAGGAGGTTGGTTATTTGCTGGTGTTCGTACAGATATCTCACCCTGTCCTCGGTTGTCTGCGGGCTCGCCAGCGGCGAAATGCTTTTTGAGGCATGGCTCTTGATCCCATTTTTCGAGCCGTTAGTATGCGGTGCTGGCTCTGAGTAGGAGTAGCATAGCGGATGGTCCACTGCCAGTAATGCTGCCCTGGGAGACATTCTTTGATCGTCGCATATATCTTTCTGTGTCTTCTGGCCAATATTCACGATCCTAAAACCTCGTGTCTTTCAAGAATGAGATATCTTTTGGAGTCGATGTGCACAGCTAGATTGTCTTGATTGGCTGCAGCGAGACCTGCCTCGATGGCTAGGAGGGATCATAGAAGAAACGTTGGCGCGGGGTCTTGCATTAAACTTGCTTGCACACTTGGGGCTTCCCCATATTGCGGAGTGAGCTGCTCCACGCATTCCAGTTGGTGGAAGCAATAGACTTCCCAGTCAGTCCAGAGATTTGTGCAAACGGATTCCCCACCGGCAAAAGGTGCCACGGGGTCTCTTCCGGTCTGGAACTCCAGGAAAAATGACAAAGTGGTTGCAGTGCGCCAGACTGCACCTCGAATGCTGCTATCCTGCCTCGGGAGATCCATAGAAATAAAACCCTTCACCTTCAGGACTCCAGTGCGCGTTGGCATGATTACCTGGGTGGTCACCTTGTGGTGGGGCATCCGAAAAGGCCATCTCGAAATTGAAACGGGGAATATCAAATGTTGGAACGTCGAATCCCGGGACAAAATTCAATATTCGATCCGGTGACTCGAGGTCGGGAACAGCGAAGCCAGCATGGATGTCGGTCGACGTACTTGGTGTGTCGCTTGAGACATACCCGGTGGCTACCTTTTTCAATAGCCGATGGATCTTCTCAGACGCCACACGAGCAAATGGTAAAGCTTCCTGGTGTCTGGTGAAAAATACCGCAGCAGACTCGATGTTGTCATTGATCTTGCTCCGATCCGGTATCGTGGCCGCGAGAAGATCATGAGTGGATTCGCTCCTCACGTACAGCAGAAGCGTAAGAGTCGCATTCCAGAGGTAACCCATTGTATGAAACAGGGCTGCTTGGAGGGTACCAGAGCTTCCGGCGTTGATAGAAGTGGTCGTAATGTTGATCAGCGACATGGCCATTTCGATGCACTTCGCCGCTGCCACGACTGATTCATCACTCACTTTCATCTGCTTCTCTCGTTTCTGTACGACCAGGTTGAGGAATGCCCGGTATAGGAGGATTCTAAGATTCAGGTAGCCTAATACAACAACGATGAGATTCAATAACACCTGGTCTGAGCTGGGGGAAGTCAAGTACATACGCAGTCGGATAACCAGGCCATGCGGTTCCTTGGACCATGTGGAATCATGGTACCAGCTGTCATACCAAGCGCAGATGGCACCATCAGCTGCACGAAGAGCCGCTGCTCGTTCACTGACTCCAGAGTGTTTGAAAGCGAGCGAGTAAACTTGTTCATATGCGTCCCATGCTAAATAGGAAAACTGTCGCATCCGCTCCAGATATTGGAGATCAATCGGCGAGGTATCCAAGGGAAACGGTCTTACGTCAACCTCTCGTGGTTGGATACCACAAGGACGGCCAGATAGTGTGGCGAGTTCCCTGCTGAAAGATCAGCAAAGCTAGAGCCTTAGAGAGATGGTGAACAAACGTTTCATATATGAACAGGCACCTATTCCCGCCTTAGTGCAAATCTCAGGCAGGCCGAAGCATAACATCAAACTCACCACCAGGTTGCGCACCATCCGTTAGTATCAAGAACGTGAGCGTCAAGTGGCATGAGCTCTCGGTGAAGACCGATAGCGTAACCGACTCTTACCGAAGTTCCTAGCATCGCATATGCTTCGTGGAGTCTCTGTTGATTAAAGAGCCAGACAAACTGGTCGTGGTCTTAGCATTCGATGAGCCCACAGCACCCGGAAATTACTCACGGCAAGAAACATGGAGTTTACTGCAGACATGTCACCACCAGAAAAAGGAACGTCGGCAAAGGTGGATTTAGCTAAATTGAAGCAAGTCTCCCCATGCTGTGAGGCAAGAGCATCGTTTCGGACTCGATCATCTGGATCAACAGTGCTGCATTGATGACCGTGGGCTAGAACCATGTACAAGACGGCAGCCCAGAGCTCATACCCTTTTCCTTCTGTAGGTAGGCCTTCCCAAAAGTTTCGATACCGTTCCATGAAAGTGGTGCGGTTGAGGATGGGATATAGACGATGGGCTGTTTGAAAGTAGCGGTTCACATAATCGTCCGCGACGGACCTTGGAGGCAGCGAAGACCCTACAACCTTCGCGAACCTAAGATTGGCAGCATTCTCGAGCCACAAACTAGCTCTGTTTAGTGGTGACTCCATCCGAGAAGTAGACGGTTGGTCTTCCGATTCATCTGTTGCCTCCACGGCACTGATGATGGCATTGGAGGAAGAGCCGCCGTAGAACTCGGGATTTCTTGAGATTGTCAGATAGTTTACACCTCGAAGCAGTTGGGCCATATCGTCTTCGCTCCGACTCGTTTCGGTCGCGGTCCCATATATCTGATCGGAATAGCGAGGAGGGCTCAGACCTGGCTCGTTTAGGCTCTGTCCGGTCGTGTAGCCTTCGTAGATCCGTAAGCGTTCTTCAAGCTGCGCAATTCTCCTGAGACACGCGGACTACTGTCAGCTTGCAGAGTCGCATCAAGAGACAGCAAGAGCTCACTTCATCGCTTTTGCCAGAGTGAGTTTCTCCGGGGCACGAGCGTCACCTCCATATTGGCAGGGGAGGGAGTTTTCCTGACAGGTTTTGCACGGGCTGGCTCCATTGCACTGTTTTGAACTAAAGTCAAACCTCTTCCCTCAAACATCACAGATCTGGGGTAAGCACGTACTTTTCGGCGCAGCGCTCGGCAATTCGAACACGCCTGTTCAGTTTTGGTTCTTTTGACACTGGGTTGTGGGGGTGCAAGTGGTGTAGGGAGGCCCAGAGCCGATTCGTGTTCTCTTTTGCGGTCAGGGGCGATCTCTCTGAACTGCATCATGGCATCGTCGCGGACAGGTTGATTGGACTCTGGCTGGACGGAGTTGGTGGGATGGTGAGTCGACGACGACATGGTGGTGGAAGTTGGTGTGGAGTGAGGAAGGATGAGCATCAAGTGTCGCCTGCGTCCAGTCCAGTCCAGTCTAGCGTCATGCACCCCACAAAATGCCAAATGCCAAACATTCGTCTTCTTCCCTCCTCTTCACCTCAGCATAGACATGCCCTCCCATCCTTATGACATCTGCTCTCTCATGACCACGGAAACACACACGGAAAGTGATCACCTCAGAAATCTACCCCGGACCGTTTCTGCGGCTCATTCTGGATCTGGGAGGAGGTGATTGGCCACGCAATTTACGGTCGTTCAGACAGGGGAAATGGGACGGCAAGCTCCTCCATCCTCCACTGAGGTGTCTAACATTAGTTTTCAGGTCCCCCTCTAGGAAGATACAAGTCTAAGGATGACGCTAAGTCCATGACTGTGCAGCTGGATGACTCAAGGATGTAACGCTTGGAGTCTGCACAGGCCGCTACTGTCCCTCAACTCTACCTCCTCGGTCTACGCAGCATCAATTGAAGTAACATCAACATGTTTGCTCTCCAAATGGCGCACATGCTCCGCCTTTTCTGCGAGGGCATCCGTCACAGCATGATCTTTCACGAAAACCGTGTCAATCTCCTCAAGGGTTAAACCACGAGTCTCGGGATACAGGAACCAGACTAAGTTTCTGTCAGCACATCCGTCGAGGAGAGGAAAACGCTGACGGCTCTTACCGATGGGCAATTGAAGGAAGGTGAAGATTATGAATACGATGTATAATCGCCAGTGAATGTTGGCAATGCCAATCGGGCCCACCTTGACTGCAAGCCTCAGTTAGCGATTGACATTTCGATGGGCAAGGCCAGGACTCACCGATGATAAAAGTAAAGGTCCCTAAGTCGAACAAGTGTCAGCATTGATAAGCCACGTGGCTGTCTCACTCACAGTTTGCAAAGGCGTTCAAGGCATTCCCGATATGCCTGTACCTCACCGGGACAAGTTCAGGGCCAAGGCACCACGGACTGTTATACGTCAGCTGGTATCCAGAGTATCGACAAGTGCGCACTCACGTCGGCAGCCAACTCCAACCGAAAGCCACACAGATCAAGCACGTCGCTCCGAAAGCCACCCAGAGTTGTGCTGTTCCTCCATTCTTGACCATGGGCGTGTAAATACAATACCCGATTAGGATTGGAATTGTTCCGGAAACAAGCAGCTTCTTCCGTCCAACGCGCTCGATAAGAGCAATGCCAAACAGTGAACCCACCCAGAAGCTGATAGATGCAACGCCGCCCAAGACCAGAGAAAGATTGGCAGATATCCCCAGTTGCAAGAAGACAGTGCTGGAATAATAGATGACAATATTGACCTGGGTGCACGTTTCAGCAATTTGCGGTCTGACTTTGAGAGGTGGTGTAACATACACCGGGCAGTTGTTGGATCATCTGAATGATGAAGACCAACGCCATCCGCTGAGGGATCTTCTGACCAGATCGATCGTAGAAGATGGTTTTCAGACTGTATTCACCGAAGTGATCTTCCAAAGCAATTGCGGCGAGAATTTCACTGCGTTCAGCTTGAATCACTTCATGTTCGATAGGAAGACCCTTCAAGGCTGACATGACTAGATCTGCCTCTCCATTTCGGTTCTTCGAATACAGCCATCGTGGACTTTCTGGGAGCCAGAAGAGACCGAAAATGGTGGGAATGGCAAACGCGGCTTGGAAAGCTGCAAGAAAATATTCAGTATCACTCGACGCAACGATAGAATTGTCCATCATACCAACTGGAAAGCGCCACACCACCTGCCCAGTGAGGTGAAAGAAGCCGTAATTCATCCAGTATGCAATCACAATGCCAAATGCTGCAATTGACAACTGAGTTGCGACCAACTGCCCTCGATGTTTGGCTTTGGACGTCTCGGAGACCCATGTTGGCACTGTCCCAGTGTTCATTCCATTCCCGATGCCAGAGACGATTCTCCCGACAATGAGTTGAGCCACACTGTATGACGAGGCCTGAAGGACAGCGCCTTGAACAGGAGTCAGTTCTGGCATTTCCACTGTCGACCTTTTTACTTGCCGATCACCATTATGACCATCCCAACTCCGATTGTACGCTTTCGACCGAGAGACGAACCCCAAATTGCAGCGACAAGACATCCGACCATGCACCCGACATCGTATATGGAAACAACGGTGGAGATGGTGTCGGCATCGGTCGCCTTTGTAGGCTGGTCAGCACCATGTTCTGGGAAGAGTCAAAGGAGATGCCCACCGAGATGCTAACGGCTTCGAGGAAATAAGGAGTAGAGATGATACTCCCCATGATCCCTTGGTCATAGCCTAGAGAAAACCAGGATCAGTGTTTTCCTTTGTTCTCAATGGTTGGTCCTACCAAACAAAAGAAAGGCGCTGGCGGAGCACAGGCTGATAGCCCACGAAAGGGCGGAGCCTTCGAGGCCCAGGAATGGCTTGCCGTGTCGAGACATGGTATCTGGGTGAGTTCAATCGTGTTGAACTTCGTGTCCTGCTTTGCCAGAGTCGGTGGACACGAGTCTCAACATATTATATGCAATTCGACAGCATATTCCATATGGACTGTGGGATGGACTGTGGAGTTACAAACCCGCCGAGGCACGTCGCAGGGAACGGACACGTCCATCCACGCATCCCCATTGGACACTCATCATGCCTCCACGTATCCCTATTGGACGGGAATCTCAACCCCACAAAGTTCTGCGGCCTCGTGGGGACGCCAGGGCATTAATGCGGAGTCGGTAGTTCCTCGAGGCAGACTGCAGCAGCTTCCTCGGACGCGTTCGATACCCTATTTAAGGGTGAAGCATGGTCCTCGAGGGATATGTCCAAAGCCAGTGCAAACACAGGAATGAGCTGCCCAATCGGACATCAGGGAAAATTCATAGCATTTTCCCTCAGACCTTCGGAAGACTACAGGAGTCTCTGGGTTTGAAGAGACAGAACTCGATCCGAAAGTTATCCACCTTCTTCGACCACAAACTGTCGGATCATAAAAATTATTGTCGGTACTACAAAGACTGACGTGCTGTCAATCGACACGAGATCCACGAGCCTCCCTGTACACACCACAGCGACCGCCGTCCACTCTCCCAATGGCCGATACAGAGAAGATAGTCGCCGAACTGGCGTCGTTGCAGAAGACAGTGTCATCTCTCCAAAAGTCGCTGTCAGAGACACAAGACATCCAGGCGGTCCAATGGCTGCTCAACCACTACACGGCACTGCACGACGACGCGTGTTTCGACCTCGAGAAGCGACAGGAATGGGAGAACCTATTCTGCGAAGACGGCGTGGCAGTTTATCCCTACGGCCAACACGTCGGCCGCGCGGGCAAGGGGACGTGGGCGTTTGGCGGCGTGAGCTACTTTGAGCGGTGCCAGCTCCTGTCGTCCAACTTTGACATTGAGTTCTCCCCGAACCGCCGCCGCGCGTACGTGCGCACCAACTGCATCGCGCAGTGGATGAAGAAGAGGGACGTCTACGACGACCACTTTGACGAGGGCGGCTTCTACAACTGGGTCCTCAGAAAGGACACCGACGGCCAGTGGAGGATCGAGCGCGTCCATCTGACCATCACCTGGACGACGGGCGAGGATCCCACGGGCGTAGGGCCCAAGACCAAGAGGGCCGCCAAGCTGTAGGGGTGGCAGGAGAGAGACTACATGTTCGGTTATTCAGTGAGGTGGGTGATTACAAAGGGGAAGGGGGAGGTGGAAGGTGGAAGAGACGAATCTGTCTCGAGGTTTTTATACATATCTTTGTCTTTATCTTTGTCTTTATCCTCGCCCTCATGCGCTTAATAGAGGACTAGTCAATGCTGAAGACGAGATGATCTCAACATAAATGTCAGTAATCCTGGAGAATTGCGCTTGTCTCACGTCTCACGTTTCATGTCCACACAAGCTTCCTGTGTATGTATGTATGTGGGTAGACAAGCCAAAGAATAAGCAAGAGACGCACAGAGTATAGTATAGAGTATAGTATGTAGCACATAGTACATAGTATATAATTAGTATACTCGACATGGCCCTTTCGGGATCTAAGTGTCCACAACCTACACAGGAAGACAGGTAAACAAGCACACAGGCAGACAAGATCGCGGGATACTTGGTCGTACGAGGTAGTTGGAATACAGAATACAAATCAAGTCAAGTCAAGTCAACCATGAGCATGGAAACCGAACCGCAGGCACTTGTTATGGTGACGTGTTTGCCTTTGTTAGTTATTGCCTTGTTGCCATGGTGTTTGTGTCTATCTATCGGATCTACCTAACCATCCGACCATCTAAACCCCTTGTATCCATATCCAGCCATCCAAGACCATCTTGTCACAGATCGATTCATAGATTCCACCATCTCCCTATCATCCACCACCACCTATCCAACTCATCCCTCCTCCCCTCTCCCTCTCCGCGTCCAACAATCTGAAGTCTTGCCTTTGCCCTTTCTCCAAATGTTGATTTGTGTTTTGTGTTTTGAATTTTCATAAAAAAGTAGTTCATTCATCCATCCATCATTTCCGTCGTTAAGAAGATCAATTCGGGCAGAGAAAGGTTTGGTTTTTTTTTTCCCCTTCTATTCTTTTTTCTTTTCGCTTGCATGCTTGCGTGCTCGCTTGGTCGCTTCGCACCAACTAGAGCCGAGATGGGATGATGGTTTCATATCCCTCTCTTACAACTCTTACAACTCTCACTCTTCACTCTTCACTTCCCGGACCAGCCGCCGCAGCACCGTGTCTGAACAGGTGGCGGTGTATGTCGCGGCGCCCGTGCCGAGTCAAGTGGCGCTTGGCGTGTGCCTCATTGAGGAAAGGCAGCATTTCCGCCGACGAGGACAAGATGCCAGGCTCCGGACCTGCCTCGCGCCGGCTCTTCTTGTCCCCTTCCCAGCTCTGGAAGTCCTCGTAGCCTAGGGCGCTGACGGTCGTACATGTGACGGAGGCAGGGGCGGCGGCGTTGTTCTTCTCGTTGTTGTCCGAAGACCCGGCCGGAGGGGTAGGGGTGGTGGCGGGTGGCGAGGCAGCGGACTCTTGAGCTTCGCTGACGGTGCCGTCCGACGAGACCACAGCGACAACTGGTGGTCCAACTGTCATGGAAGAGACTTGCCCGTCGAACGATGCCACAGACGACGCCGCCGCCCCTGACGCTGTAGTTGGCACAGCCACAAAGTTTGCCGCTGTGGCTTCATAAGTGCCGAACGTCTTGGTATGGCGGCCATTACCACCACGACTGAAACCCGTGGTAGGAGCTGAGTAGAAGCTCGTTTGGGTAGGGCCGACGGGCGGCGGTCCTGGCGGTCCACCAGGAATGCTGACAGAGGCAGTGGGCGCATGCGACGAGAACGATGGGAATGGCGCAGTGGCGTTGGGACCCTGGCTACCGCTGCCCTGGAAGACCTTGAGAGAGTTGACGGTCCAGAACGCATCTTGGAACGCCGATGGGTTGTTTTGGACGTAGCTCTCGCAGGTCGACGCTTTAGATTTGCACACGGGGTCAGAATCCCATACATTGCCAGCCCAGTCGCCGCAAAAGGTCGTGTCAAAGACGATCTGCTGGTTGTTGAAGAACTCGTCGATGTTGCAGCTTCCGCCAAACGAAGCCAGAGGTTGCCCCCAGTTGCCCGGGTCGGGTGACCCTGAGGATATGTCTGAGGGGATGGCTGAGCGCGAAAAGAACCAGATGCTGATGGCAGACGAGGTCCATTCCGTGGCGTATACGCCGCCTTCAGCATCATTGAATCCTGTTCCGTAGGTGGCGTCGTTGGGAGTCGAGATTGAGCAGCCCGCATTGGTTGCTTGGCCCGCAGCCTTGATATCGCAGTTGGACGTGGCTACCGAGCCTGAAAACATGCCGTTGTTAGAAATGCTACACCCAGCGTTGGTGTGTAGGGTCATAGCATTGGAAGTTTGCAAGTTGACACCCTCGATAATGTCGATTTCTCCTGCATTCGGCCAGTTGGGTCCGACAGTCCAAAAGGCAGGCCAAGCACCACAGACTCCACCTGGCATATGGGAAAGGTCGAGGATAATGAGACCGTGGTTGTAAGATTTTTTGCTTGTCAGGCGGACGCTTTGACGGCCGGAACCAGACGCAACATTTGTATGGTCAACACCCATATAGACGGCGCCGCTGTCAGTGTTTATGAGGCCGCCACGCTGTGCAGTGTTCTGGTCCACATATTGCACATACCCATTTGTCGGATCCGGGTCCTGATAGTTTGGTCAGCACGCAATGTAGAGTAGCGAACAGGGGAGCCGAGCTCTACCGTGAAAAAATCAAACATGGAAAAGAATTGATCTACGCTGTAGTCATCCTCCAGCACATATCCCGCTGTGCTCAAGGAGATGAGTCCCGCCAGGGTGACCAGAACAGAAGAAGCCAACATATTTGCTTAGATTTCAAAAAAAAAAAAAGATCGACAGAAAGGAACGACAAACTGCAAGACGCAAGTTCAAATGAGAAAGGAGTGGACGCAAAAAATGCTGGCTCTGGAAAAAGAAATGGAAGAATGACCTGTCCACGGGAGTGAGTACGGACCAGGTCCAACGGTAAAATCGTCGAGATATGTATACCAAGAAGGGTCCATGGCTGTGTAGAGAAAGGGGTGAATCATGGTCCAGATCCATCCTCGGCGTCTGTGTAAAGGCGGGGCCAAACGAAGTATCCATCTGAGGAGGTAGGTACGTGTCCGGGCTTGTCATGTACGGCTGACGTGCAGAACAGCAATAGGCTTCACGGATTGGACCTGTGAAGCCTGAAAGCGCTGTCGAGAAGTAAGGGGTAATCCATATACGCTCATGTGAACGTGGATCGGCGGGTCACCAAGTACCAAGCGAGGAAAGCCGAACTATAATTGACAACATCGCACACGACCCTCATCCTGCAAGATTCGAGATATTCCAGGCGGGCCCAAAAAGACAGCAGTGCCCTGCTCAATGCCTGTAGAGGAGCTGATTAAGGAGAGAAGAGGCTTCCTTCCTTCATCGAGCTGGCAGGCAGGTGAACATCCATCAACCTGGGAGAGGATGAGAGGATCGAGAATTGAGATGGCGGGAATGGGGCTTGAAACGATGGCGCCAGGCGAACTCGTCTCTTTGACTCCGCATGTTTGAAACTCGGTAGGGACGGATAAGCCTGATAACTTTAAAAAGGGCCAAAGGGCCATTAGGCCAAAGCGTTGGATCTGGGTGCCTTGGTCTTGGAAGTGGATTGTCATGGGGGCTGGTAAAAGGGAGGAACTGAAGAAAGGCAAAAAGGGAGAAAGTCGAGAATCCCAGGGGCAGGTGAGGTTGAAGCTGTTGACCAATAAGAGTCCGGATTGGACCATATCACGTGTCAGGCTGGACCCAATTGGGCCACTTCGAAACATTCCTTGTCTCAGCGCCCGACGCCGCGCCCAGAAAGGCTCCACCATACCAAGAGCCATACCAAGGAAAAAGGAGAGTGACACAG